ATGTCCCTTGGTACATAGCGTAAGCACCTCAGCAGAACTTAAAAGCAACACTCTTTTTCTTCCTCTCATAGGTTTCGTTGCATTGTTTACCCCTTCAGACAGAAACTAACTCTGAGGAAAGCCCTAATCACCATAGTTATCATTTGGGTCTTGGCCTTGATAATCATGTGCCCCTCTGCAGTCACCTTGACAGTCACCAGGGATGAATATCATTTCATGGTGGATGCGTACAACAATTCCTACCCACTCTACTCCTGCTGGGAAGCATGGCCTGACAAGGGAATGCGAAAGATCTACACAACCGTACTCTTTTCTCACATTTACGTGGCCCCTCTTACCTTAATTGTGATCATGTACGCACGTATCGCTTTCAAACTTTTCAAGTCCTCTGCGCCCATAGGAGGCTCCCAGTCAGAGGAGAATGAGGGGAGGAGGGTCTCCAAGAGGAAAGTCAAGGTTATCAACATGTTGATCATAGTGGCATTGTTCTTCACTCTCTCCTGGTTGCCCCTGTGGACTTTAATGCTGCTGACAGATTATGGAAACCTAACTGAGTACCAGCTCAACGTGATCACAGTTTATATTTTTCCATTTGCCCATTGGCTGGCATTCTTCAACAGCAGCATCAACCCAATCATCTATGGGTATTTCAATGAGAACTTCCGAAGAGGGTTTCAGGAGGCTTTCAAGGTCCAGCTCTGCTATGTGGAGAACAAGCACAAGGATACTTATTCGGAGAGGAACAATAGTGGGTTCCTTTTTGGAGCACAAAACCGCATTTTTGTTGAAGCACGCCCTAGTGATTCAGTGCAACCCTCCCAGTCTGGACAAAGTAACCTCCCGAGAATTGGGTTATTTCCTCTGAGGAATGGGCGTATTGCTCACCATGGGCTGATGGTGGAGGACTTGGACAATACAGCTTGTTCTCACAACAGTGTCAGCGTCCCAGCTTGGGATATCTAAGAATACTGCATATCGGGCTCCCATAATTGATGGACTTTTTAGTGGACAACGCTGGAGATCTGTGAACCATAACATTTGAAACTCCCTGAGGAGCAAATTATTTACAATGATGGACATCTAGACTAAAAGCTATTCAATTTTAAGGACTAAATCGCTAAAGGTTTAGATACTTATACATGGTACTACAGTTACAAAGCAAAAGAGAAGGCTTTATGTTCAAGTTTCCAGATGTATTATTGTCTCCTAGACTTTCATGTGAATTAAGGAATGGTTTACGGAGGGATTTTTAGGATCCAGGCCCATGATGAGAGTGGACCCAGGCATAGCAGTTATTCAGTGGCATAGCAGATGGTGGTGGTAATGCAGTCCACAGCTGACTGTTACTTGTTGGTTACCTTATGGAGTGGACTCAAGCTGGCTGGGCTACTTGAAAGAAAGATCAAAGACTTGGTATTGGGAGAAAGATAAAAGTTCAGCCAGGAGTGGGGGAATGACGATGAATAGGCAGTATATAACAATGAATCTCTGAACTGGAAATAACAGATAATTATTGGGAAAAATCACATATACCACATGGGAGCCAGGTCTAGACCCTTGATCTTTCAGCTCAAAAACAAACAAACAAACCTGGCTTTTACCACTGGAGCTAAGAGACTCTTCCTTTGTTGTTAGCTAGTGCATTATATACTACTCTCCTTCCTAGCCAGCTAGACAGATCTTGTCACACACAATTGAGATTCAAGGAGTTAAACTCCAACAATCAGGCACCAAATCTGTTGTAAATCCATGTGCTGCAGAAGACACCAGACTGATTGCTTTGGAAGTCACCACACCAGCTTCTCCTGCTGCATCTTACCTCATCAGCTAAAGAGGAGCTGGTGCCTCATTCAGTAACCCAGGAAGAAAGAGAGATGCTCTTCTGCTTTTAGCACCAGCTGGGGAATTGTGTTCCCTTTTACTTTAACTCCTGATTGCAAGCATGTGGAATGGAGCATGGTTTTCAAGGATCTGGGCCGTTTGCCCATAATACACTGCTGTGTGTAACTTTATTTTTTTTCTGAAAACACAGTAAATTTGTCACTTTATTATTTGCAGTTCTATTTTTAAGTTGTAAATTACTTTAGTTCTCAAAAACGATTGGCTTACACCACCAGCTAGAACCAGGCCTAGTTCAAGCATGTATGTACTAGCTTTTCCCTCCTATCTCTGTTCTCCTTGTAACAGACATTTTGATTCCTTTCCTGACCTCTCAAGCAGAGACAGCCAACCATGAATTGTATCTGACCATGTTGTGATTCTGTGATGTGCATGAATGAAATCTAGGAGATCTGCCGAATATTTTCACTTGTGACTAAAATTTGAATCTAGGTCTCCAATGTGAAAGGCCAGTGCAGTTAACCTACTTTGCTACCTATATTTCTTCTCTGAGGAAAATCCTTATTTTCTTCATGTAATATTAACTCCAAGAATATATACTCACTGCAACATAAATTGTAAGCATCATTGTGCGTAGCCTTGAGCTATGACATCAAACTGTAGATTGTCAATCTTATAGAGCTCTTGCCTCATGCTGTTACTGTGCACCTCTGCATTCTTACAAAAAACAGAACAATCCAGCATTTGAAGTTTTTAACAAATGTAATCTGAAGTTTGTGGTGCAGTTGCAATGGGGTTACACCAACAATGAATTAGGCTCAGTTTGTGTACATTAGAACATACACTAGTAAAGGAAATGTGCTGAGGTTAGAAAACATGGAGTATTCATAATATTTAGCCCTTATATAATACTTCTGAGTTGCAAGGTACTCTACAAACACTAAATTACTCCTAAGACATACCCTTTGAAATTGGAGTATAATCTCCATTTTAATGACAGGGAAACAAAGAGTACTCTAACCAACCTACTTAAGTTCACAGAGCCATCAGTGTAGGAACTGGAATTGGAACTCAGTACTTCCTGGCTCAGAGGCCTATCCGCAGCCCCCAACTCTCTGTCAAAGTTGTCAAGCTATTCAAAGTAATATCATTAATCAAAAGACCTGAACCTTTTCTGTTCATACAATGAAGTCAAATCTGTTGCTGGATAAGGCCTTTGCAGCCACATTTTTTTAAATGAGCCTCCAAATTTGGATGCTCAATTTGAGAAAACTTGGGCCTGATTTTCCAGAGGTGCCGAACACCAGAAACTCCTATTGACTTACACTGGATTTCTAGGCAGCCAAGCCTAGATTCTCAAAGCTATTTAGATACCTAGCTCCCACTGAAATCAATGGAATTTTGAAGCACTACACCTCACCTTTTCTGAAAAATCAGGCCACGGTCACAAGTTGAACACCCAAAAATGGAGGCATCTAAAATTAGAGGCTACTTTGGAAAATGCTAGTCTAAGGCCTTGGCTACACTGGCGCTGTACAGCGCTGCAATTTGCTGCACTCAGGGGTGTGAAAACGCCCCCTCCCGCCGAGCACAGCGAGTGCAGCGCTGTAAAGTGCCAGTGTGATCAGAGCCTGCAGCGCTGCACGCTCACTCGCAGCACTTCAAGCTACTCCCCTTGCAGAGGTGGAGTACATACAGCGCTGTGAGAGCTCTCTCGCAGCGCTGGCGGTGCGACTACACTCACGCTTCACAGCGCTGCTGCGGCAGCGCTGTGAATTCCCGAGTGTAACCAAGGCCTAAGACTTTCACTTTTCTCATTACAAATCTTTTTCTAATGGTTCCCAACCTGTTTGGTTACTTGTAACAGTTTATCAGATTAAGGGTGGGATTTTCAGAAGCATTTAGCATTGGCCTATGGTTGCTCCCACTGCAGTCAATGGTGAAACTAATTGACTTCATTAGGAGCAGAGTTAGGCCAATGCTAGCAATTGCCACCTAAGACCTGAGCTGTACTTAACAGACCTGGCTGCCTCCCATTCAGCTGAACTTTCTGTAACCCTGGATGGAGCTTCCAAGACAAGGGTGTATTTGGAAAAGTCCCATGACTGGAGTTTAGTGCAGCAGAAGTTCTTGTATGACTTAGATCATGCTCATAGTTTAGAAGCAGGCAGCACACACACCAGGGCCTAGTAGTGCAAATAAAGCATCAAAATAAAAAGTTGCACTTGAGAAAACTGTTCCCTGAAACTGCAACTGTATCAATCAATTCCACATATTTTTGCTATCTTTAATACATCAGTATACTACCTCTTGCCTCTAGTAACACTGTGAATAAAGCCCTCCTGTATCAGAATTATTTGGCGTTTAGTAACCGCTCTCTCCATGCTGTACACTGGCCACGAGTAACAGAAATAAAACATCACTCTTCTGGGTTTTGTTAACGTTTATTGCGAGAATGTCTGTGCTGTAAGGACTGCAGAGTCCTGCGCCGATCCGTTTGGCCCTGATGTGGAGGGAGCGTGCAGAGTTAGAAGAGGGTTGAGCCGGATCCCCTAGAACCCAATTGCACTGATTTCTGGGGGCAGGGTCGGGCCCCACAGCCACATCAACTACAGACCAAAAGGCAGCCCCAAACTAGACAATGTGCAGCGGGCTTTGGGACGCAGCGGCACGTGCCACCTGGACCCCGGAGCGGGGATCACCTTGTCGGGGTCAGGGGTGCCACATCCTGCCCCTCCTCCAGAGCGGGGCCTGCCCACAGCGATGAAAGGCGACAGACGCGGAGCGCTCACCGCCCCAGCTGGGGGTGGAGGGGTGCGGGAAGGTCCCAGTGCAGGGACGGAGGGGATGTAGGGGTTGTACGCTGTAGGGGTTTACCAGCTGTACGCAGCCTGCACCGGTGACCGCGCCACCGGCCGGGGAAAGAGAGCGGCCCGGGCATTGCGGGGAAAGCCACGTGTGTTCTTGACAGCCCGTTCGAGCGAGGCCGAGAAGAGCGCGCATGCGCACAACTCGCCCGATGGTGGGCCAGGAGCCGAAGTAGGCGAGGCGTGGGAATGCGTTTGCGCAGCATTGTTCTCCGCGCTAAAACCGTCGGAGGGCTACATCGCCATGCGCCTGCGCAATGCTGTTCCTGAGGGCTGGCTGGGCAGGGCGCAAGAGGGGGCGAGGCCTGGCGCCTGCGCAGTGCTGTGGCCGGCAGCGCGAGCGTCCCTGGTGAAGGGCTGGTGTGGTGTGTGTCAGCGTCTCGTTCGCTGCCTGCGGCACCATGGCCAGCTACAGCGTGGAGGAGCGCGCCAACCCCAACAGCCTGGAGTACCGGCTCTTCTTCAGTGAGTGCACAGCCCTCCCGCCCCGCGCGGGGCAGGGCGGCGGGCGGGGGTCCCGCCCCGGGGGTCGCGAGGCGGCATAGCCTCCCGCTTGGGGGCAGCCTCCCGCCCGTGGCCGCCCCCTCACCTCCGGGGGGCTGGGCTGGGCACGGCCCCGCTGACCGTGTCCTGGCGGAGCTGCCTTGGCACCCCTGCCCCTAGCCGGCCCGGCTGCCGGGCGGGTTAAAGTCTGAGCGCGGCGCAGGTGGGGCTGGCCAAGGTGCCTGCTGCTGCTGCAAACTAATCCCGTAATTGGCTTTTCTCTGCTTCCTGCTCCACCCAGACCTGTCCCCGGGGAGCGACCTTTAGCCTGGCCGGGCTGCTTAGGCTGGTAACCTGGGGCGCTGGCTTAGGCGGCACCCCGCGCCCAGGGCTCAGCCTGGCACTGGCCGGGTGCAGGGGCTGGTGGGAATGGGGTCACCCATCGTGCAGGGCAGCAACGAAAGCGCTGCTACGTGTCTCGAGCAGCAGTCCTGCCAAAGTCAGCTCGCCCGGGGCAAATATTCTCCTCGTGTGCTTTTTTTTAACATAGAAGGGGTGAAAGTGAAAATGTGGGGGGAGGGAGGTATCGTCCACATTTAAATGGATGGGAGAATAGAAAGATCATGGGGGAAACTGTAGCTGCTTGTAGGACCACGTCCCTGAGATTGTTCGTCATGCACCTATCAGCTCTTCAAAATCCTTCTTTGAAGCCCACAAGACCTAGTTGTTCTCTCAGTGAAGTGGCTACTTCCTCTTATTTCTTGACATGACATGTCAAACTGACACCTCTGCTAATGCAATGCAATATTCTCTGCCTGCATCCCCTAAATCTTCTGCCTGACTACAGAGAGAGAAGTAGTTCCCAATTGTACCCACTCCTAACTTGTGCTAGCTCTCAAGTAAGAACTTGTGCTGGGGGTGAAGCTGAGAACAAAATTGACTCTGAGTATTGCATCATCTATTTGGCTTCCTAAGTAGCTGGCTTTCCATGGCTAGGAGTAAAAGGGCATGATACTAAACTGGCCACAAATAACAGACCTGCTCTGTTGCACTTTACCAGAAGAAAATGCTTGACTTAGTACAATGTTCCCAACTCAATTTTCTGAAGGGAGATAGTAGCTAAGAATCCTAGCCGGCTTCTCTAATTTAGCCATTTAAGTGACTAATCTCTTAATGGCTCTCTTAACTGAGATTATGAAACATTTTGTATCCAACACAATCTTTCTAGGAAAGTGATAATCTAGTACTGTATTGTTTAGTAGGAAGAGTTAATATCTAATATTGACCTGCTAGGATTTGAAATTTATTCTACAGAGAAAAAGCAAATACTCTGTCCATTACACTACAAAATCTCTGAGTGATACTAATTTGCAATACACAGGTATGAATAAAAGAACCCTTCCATACTTTCCGACTCATGCAATAGGAGCATGAGAGAAAATGGGGTGGGGAGTTAAAATGAGTATTGCTCAGTCAACAGTAGAAATAGCTGTGTGTTTCACATTGTCTGCATGGGAATGATCAGATTTCAAAAGTCTTGCTTTATTGAGAGGGAACCAAACAACAACCTGGTGACTCTCTTAATCTTGAGGGCAACTAGCAAAATAACTCATTTATGCTGGAATAAGTAGGTCTGTAGAAAATACCAGAAAACCTACAAACTGAAATTGTTAATTCTCAGATCCCTCAAAGTTCTGTTCTACGCAGCTGTAACAGCAGCACTCTTGCTGTCGTGGCTTTAAATACCAGCTTCACTTTTAAATATGAACTGTACCAGAATGTGAAAGAAAGCAGAATGTCTACACAGCGTACAGTGAACTTTCCAGTCCTGGTCTACACTACTTCTTTATTTTTGTAGTTTTGCGGACCATTTTGTTTCAGTTTATTGTACATTAAAGATAATAGCCACTTTCACTGAACACTCTGACTGAGCTTTAAATTGGTTACTAGGAGTCCCGGGCAGGATAGTCTTGCAAAGATCCTGCAAGGGTGCTGGGCTTGCTGAGCATAGGATTCTGGCTTCATTCCTACTCATACTCTGTCCAGTTATCTGCTAGCTGGGGCAGAAAACAGCTTCAGACTTATACCCCCGCCCCACCTCCCCGCAAAATTGGTGCAGCAGTGCTAGAAGGGGGTGGAAATGTATGATAATTGTAACCTCATGAATGAGGTTAGCCAATCTTAACTAGCTAGTAGCCTTCAACAATTAGTCTTAAAATATGCTGTGGAAAGGCCCTTTGCATGTGCCATATATATTGAAACCGCTTTGACTTGCTGGGTGACCTATAGCACTTGTGGGGAGGAGGGAGAGTATAGGTCTTGCTTATTAAAAAGGCTTCTGTATGTAGTTATTAGGGGAGCTTTTAGGATACAGCTCCAAGACAAATTACATCTGCAAGCTAAATAAACCTTGTGGTGGTCTTAAAGTGAATCTAGACCACTTCCTATAAGATCTGGATGTTATTTGCTGCCCTTCTTCCAGCCAGTGTTTGACAATTATCGATATTTATATAATCTTGTGACAGATACAGTCACCTCCATAGGTGTCATTTGAGGTTGTCCCGTGCCATTTCCCCCATAGATTCTCTAATGTGCCACGTTCTACTTCCATTAGTCCAGGTATCTTTGTCTAACTACTTGAGGATATTATACACTTGTGATATCAACTCCTCCTTAGAGTTTGAAATAGAATGTTTCTATCCGTTGGTTCTTTTAAACTGCGCTGAGATTAGGGAGATAGACACAGCAGCATAATCATGCCTTACTTGGAGAAGGTATGTCTTGTTATTTCCTTCATGTAGTCACAACCCTCTATTTTAAAAAAAAAATCCTTTAAAATATCATTTGTGCAAATATTAAGGTGAGCTCTGCAAACTAGTGATGGCTGTTTTTTAATAAATCTTCTCTTGTGCTGTATTTCTGGAGGAAACATGGGGAGTTTTATAAGACCTATGTTGCAGTAATGGAACTGTAACTAAGGCTGTGTCTACACTACTGCGATAAGTCGAACTATGCTACGCAACTCCAGCTACGTAAGTTGCGACGTACCTTAGGTCGAGTTACCCCGGGGTCTACATCACAGGGGGTCAACGGGAGAGACTCTCCTGTTGACTTACCTTACTCTTCTCGTCGGGGGTAGAGTACAGGGGGTCAACTGGAGAGCGATCTGCTGTTGATTTTGGTGGGCCTTCACTAGACCCGCTAAATCGTCTGCCAGTGGATCAATCTCAGAGTGTAGACCTGCCCATAGTAACACTACATCTCTGACACTAGCTTCACTGTTATTATTTCAGGACACAGTCGACATCTTCTAAGCTAGGCATTTGAATAAAGCCAACTTTATAGCCATAGTAGTGTTTTATTAAATTGTTTTCATTAGTGCTAATTCATTTTTATTTACTAGCTTAATATGTTGTTCTTTCAGAAAATGATAAAGGACAATACATTTCACCATTCCATGATATTCCAATATATCCAGTTGCTGGCAAGGTAATGTATATGGCTATATTGAGCAGGTTCTTAGCTACCCACTATGGGAACTTACTTATTAGAAATCTATTCCCTCCAGATAGTATTGGTTTCTCCTTTCCGTGCATCTGTGTGGTAAATAACTATGCAACATAAACTATGACGGTAGTTGGCCTCTGGCCAAACAGTGCAACTGCAATCTCTCTGACTGAGCAAACTGGGTTAGGTGGAATCTTACATCATGCTCTTTCTTTCTCTGGTGATAAGGGAAATTCAGTACAAACTTAGTCGTAAAATGTACCTTGGAACTAGTAAATAACTTCTGGTGCCAAGCCACTGAGGCAACTTTATTAACTTAGACATGTGAAATAATGTTGTTACTAGTCTTATTAACTGGAAATGGTTGGCTTCATGGATGGGAGCTACAAAAAATGTATACTTTTCTAAGAATGCTAATGCAGAAGAATTTGAAAAGTGATGGCTTAGGCCCTAATACTGTGAACAGCTCCCCGTGAGCAGAATCCTTATGTAAAGCTCCACTGAAATTGTTGTATGTCTTCATTGTATCGTTCTGAAGCGCTGCTTAGCTTTGGGGCTAAATTCATAGCAGTATTAGGGCTGCTTTGTGTCACTTTCCCAATGAAGATCTGTCATAATTCCAGTTTAACCAGCTACTGAAGTAACCTCCCAGCGTATGGTCAAATCATCAGGTTGCACAGAACCATTGCAGTAGCTCCTATAAAACTATCCTGCTGTGAGAGGAGTGTGGCTGAGGAATCCCTGCATTCTCTGTGATCCATGGGTGCCGTAACAAGTCATTAGGGTTGTTGGCAGCTCCTGCAACTTAAAATGGTGGCTCCAACTTGCTCTCAAGGTCTGGCCCAACTGCACCTTTTCTGCACACCCCACCCTTAACTTTTTTGAATGGCAGCTCAGGATCTTGGGAATGATTTGCTGTGTGGAAGGAATTTTTCATTGTATTTCCCCTCCCTTCCCTCCTCCTCCCCTCCCCCCCCCGCCACCCCCGAAATAAGGGTTTTTTTGTACCTCTTCTGGTAATTTTGTCCAAACATTGTTCTAGTTCAGAATTGGCAAAGTTTGTGCTGTGGTGATGGGAGTAGCGTAAGACACTCGTCAATTACGTCTGGAGAACTGACCTTTTTTTAAAGTCTCTCAAGCCCCTTGAGCTGCTGTGGTACTTCCACTGACATCCATGAGAGTGCTGAATATGAGTCAAACTCTGTAGCAGAGTTGAAGGTATTTCTGGACTCCGCATTTCAAAATGATTTCTGACAAATTGTGAAATGGCAATGTCAATACTTGATCAAGATGTTGGCTTCAAATACAAATCTGTGTCACAGGGATGTCTCTTTCCCCCCTCCCTCTTTTTTTTAAACTCATTCCTCCTCCCCCCCCTCAGGTACTATTTTTCTAATCTGCTATTATGCAAAGTAATTTGTGGAGCTCAGTCTTACAAAGAGGACCTATAGATGGGAGCAGGGTTGTCTGTGCTGCCTTAACTACTTTTTGTAGAGAGCTGGCTGGTCATATGCTATTTTCATTTCCACTTGCTATTAGTATTAAAATGTATAGTTTTAAAAAATAGATGAATTATCTGTTAAGATGTTGCACACGCTAAAATAAAAGCTCAGTCTATGCACCAGTCTTTGGCACCCTCCGCATTCCTCCTTCCTCAGTCTAGGAAAGGCAGTTCTCCTGCTATTTCAGTGGACCACAGCATGTGCACATCAAAACCTCAAGTTTAATAAAGGGAAGCTGGAAAACTGTGTGTGAATACAGCGAGTGAAAGCTACCCAACCTCTCCTTAGATTGTTGTGTTCTGCCCATGGGCTTCCTCTCCATGAAAATTTCCTCTGACATATGGTTTGAGGAAGTTGTGCGCATTTGCGGGGAGAGGGCTAGTATAACCGCATTCTGAGGGTGGTAAGAGAAGAGGCAAGAACCCAGAAGATCAGGCAGGTGCATGGTCCGCTAGCTAGTGTTTGCTTTTTACAGTAAACCCTCCTGTTAAAAATATCTTTTCTGACTTATCAGAATTATACCACTAAAGTAGATACAGACAAACATTTTGGAAGTATTCCATCTATTGACCGGGGAGTTATTGATATAAAGGGAAGATGGGTTGAAACAAAAACTTCTAAGTTTCCAGTAGAGTGTGCAAGACCTCATATGAGCAGAACCAAGATACTTTCAAGACCAACTCTTATGTGGTGTGTAAGTTTATGTATAACTTGGGGAGGGTGTTAAGGGGCAGCATTTAGCTGGGCGGTAGGGAGAAGATACTTTCAAGTTAAGGCCACTCACAAAGAACCATATGCCAAATGTGATGGAGAGCAGAGTCGTCTTGCCCATCAACTTGTGAAAAAGCAACTTCCAAAAACACATTTCTGGAATGTAACTTAGACTAATAAAATACAACGAAAGTTATACTCTCATTCTCCCCAATCTTTCTTGAACTAGTTAAAAACAAAAATTGGAGCAGGGGGGTGGGTGTCTATGGAGCAGTGCCTATCAGCTTCAGGATTTGGAGTATTACCCGCTAACTGCCAATCTCAGATTGATAAGCAAGCAGCACACTACATCAGTGTCTGGGAGTGTGCGTACAAAAAGTCACTGGAGAGAAACAAGTGTGATTAATGTTGTACACAACTACTCAATGCAGTGTTGACTGTGTTACTTTTCTTTGTATTGCAGGGCTATCTCAGGGAACTTTCCTGGTTACTCTGCTGGTTCGGTAGCTGCTTTGTTAGGGAGTCCAGCTTAGGGCAAAAGGTTACATTACACTGTCTCTAGCTCTTAATCCTGGTATTTTTAAGATCTTGAGAGGATTGTAAAGTGTTTTTCAGTCTAAGATTTGAGATGTGCTAAACCTATCTGTACATGGGCTCTTGCCCTCCTAATATTCAAATGTGAATTCACACTATCTTAATGTATTAATCATGCCTTCTAAACCATGTCAAACTCACCCACTTAATTTCCCAAATATGAACTAGCTTCTACATATACACAAGTTTCCAGAAGTTGCCTTTTCTTGAATTTAGCTAATACCCTTCAACCTCCTCTCCCTCCCTTCAAAAGTTATGTTTATTTCCATACACTTAAGCACTGATTGAACAATCACACCTTACCTACTCTGTTCTGATCCACTGCATTTTCCACACTAATGGATCTTTCTCTCTCCCTCCTTAATAGAGCAATGCACAAACACTACTGGAGCTCTGAACCCAGAGAGAAGAGCCCCTAATATTGAAAGAGTAGGTGTAGTAAACTGAAACTGGAGAACATGTAACATTGACTACAAACCATCAGTCATCCAACTATGGTGAAGTGCAGGTGCAAGGGATTTAGCATCTCTGATATAACTGTTCTGAAACACTAATGCTGCTTAACCTGAGGATTAGATAAACCAATGGTTGATATGGAGCCAGGAGCTGCAGGTGCTCAGCACTTTGAGGGGAAAAAAACGAGCCAATCTTATTTGTGGAGGAGGCCTTTTTTTTTTTTTTTTTTTTTTGATACAAAAGCTCTGACCTCTGGAGGAAGAAATGACTACTATGGGACTTTCAGAAAAAGTACTCTGTGTTGGCAAGAAACTTCCACCAAGAAGAGAGTTAGACCAAGTCCCACCCATAGTCTCAGTACTATAAGAGACTGTTCTATACAGTAGAACCTCAGAGTTACAAACTGACTGGTCAACCACACACCTCATTTGGAACCAGAAGTATGTAATCAGGCAGCAAGAGACACCCTCCTCCCCTCCCCCAAAAAAGCAAATACAGTACAGTACTGTGTTGAACTATTTTTTAAAGAAAAGTTTAAAAAAAATTTTTTTGACAAGGTAAGGAAACTGTTTCTGTGCTTGTTTCATTTAAATTAAGGTGGTTAAAGCAGAATTTTTTTTCTGCATAATAGAAAGTTTCAAAGCTATATTAAGTCAACTTTTGAAAGAACAAGCATAACGTTTTGTTCGGAGTTACGAACGACATCCATTCTTGAGGTGCTCATAACTCTGAGGTTGTACTGTATTCCTGACACTCCTTGCACGTACTCCATTAAATGTGCCTGAGCTATAGATAGGCATTCTACATTGCAGTAATACAAACTCCACCCTGACTAAAAAAAACAACCAGAGATCTCTGAGATGTTCTGACCATTGTCCCTCCTACTATAAAGATGGCCCATCAGAAGCATTTTTTCTTAGAACTGCCTCGATTATATTCATCCTGCAAATGAAAAATGAAACCTTTTAATGTCATGGATCTGCTTATGCTTTCTTTGGTCTCCATTTTGTTTCTCACTAGAAACTCACGGGAGATACTTCTTGCTATATGTTTAATAAAAAACAAACAATTTAAAACTGGTATTTCAGGACCTACTAGTGTCATGGGTTATGTTGCTGAAAAGATGCCTGTTACACCAACAGTGTAAAAATACCCACTGTCAAAATATAAAGTAGCCTTAATGCTGGGCTTGCATGGAGGAGGAACTTTAGTCTGAATGTTGTCAACAGTAAAGTGTTCACTTAAAATCCTGCTGCTCAGTCAGTTATCAAGATATAACAAAATTATCTCACTTGTTGAACACAGCAAAATGTGTTAGAACTTTAAATAACTTGCTGCTTTTGATTAGTTTGTGCTTCCTTTAGAATATGGGGATGTACTTCTCATTTCAGAGAGATTTTGCTGATCTGCTTCTTGCTCGTTTCAGAATGTGTTCAACATGATTGTGGAAGTACCTCGATGGACAAATGCAAAGATGGAGGTAAGTGGAAGATAAAATCCATAACTGACGGTCTGGCTGCTTCTAGTTCTTATAGGGTTACCATACGTCCGGGTTTCCCCGGACATGTCCGGTTTTTGAGTCTTTAAATAGCCGTCCGGGGGGAATTTGTAAAAAGCTAAAAATGTCCGGGATTTCCCCCCGGACGGCTATCTAAAGACCCAAAAGCGGCTGACAGGGCAGCCGCACCGGATTGAGCCGCTCACTTGGGGCCTCTCCGGCAGCAAAAGCTCCTCCCCCGCTTCCCCCCCCTCCCCTGCAGCTTCAGCACGCCGGCAGCGCTGCGTGGGGCATAGGCACTCCCGGCTCCACCCCTTCCCCGTCCCCATTCCAATCCCTTCCCCAAATACCAGGCCCTGCCTCCTCCCCCGGGCACGCTGCTTTTCCCCTCCACCCCCCTCCCTCCCAGACTTTTGCACGGCAAGCCTGGGAGGGAGGGAGGGAGAAGCAGAGCGCTCAGGGGAGGTGGTAGAGCGGAGGTGAGCTGGGGCAGAGGGGCGCGGGGAGGGCTGCCCGCAACAGGTAACCCGGGGGGGGGTGCAGGGGAACTGCTCCCCGCCCCAGCTCACTTCCGCTCTGCCTCTGCCTGCTGCCTTGAGCGCACAGCCGCGCCACTCTGCTTCTCGCCCCCTCCCTCCCAGGCTTGCCGCGCGGACAGCTGATTCAAGGCAAGCCGGGGGGGGGGGGGGGGGGGGGAGCGGCTGCGCGCTCAGGGAAGCAGGCAGAGCCCGAGCGGAGGCGGGGTGAAGCAGGGAGCGCGGCGAGTCAAGGGACAGGGAGGTTGGATGGGGCGGGGGTTCTGAGGGGGCCTGTCAGGGGGCGGGGGTGTGGAGAGGGGTTGGAGCAGTCAAGGGACAGGGAGCAGGGGGAGGGTTGGATGGGTTGGGGGTTCTGGGGGGGCCGCCTGTCAGGGTGTGGGGGTGTGGAGAGGGATTGGGGCAGTCAGGGGACAGGGAGGGTTAGATGGGTTGGGGGTTCGGGGGGCAGTCAGGGGACAGGCAGCGGTTGGATAGGCGTGGGAGTCCCGGGGATTTGGCGGGGGCAGGTGTGTGGATAGGAGTCAGAACAGTCAGGGGACAGGTAGGAAGTGGGGTCCTAGGGGGGCAGTTAGGGTGGGGGGGTCTCAGGAGGAGGCAGTCGGGGACAAGGATAAGGGAGGCTTAGATGGGGGGGGGTCCCAGGGGGTGGTTAGGGGCAGGGGTCCCGGGAGGGGGCGATCAGGGGACAAGGAGCAGGGGGGGTTGGATGGGTTGGGGGTTCTGTGGGGGGCAGTCAGGGGGCGGGAAGTGGGAGGGAGTGGCTAGGGGTGGGGCTAACCCCCCCCTCCCCACGGAGTGTCCTCTTTTTTGAAAGTTCAAATATGGTAACTCTAAGTTCTTAAATCTCTGGCACTGCTGAATTCTGTGTGGCTTTTTTGAAAGAAAAAAAAGTAGTCTAATGTAGTACAACACATTGCTCTGGAACAAGCAGAAGAAACGCAAGTTAACAGATCTAAATGTAAAACTTTGGTAACTAGCTTTATTATGTATTAATACTGAAGTAAGCAAAATATCATGAAACTTAAAGCTCTGACCAGTGTTGATGTCTCAGTTTAGGTATAACAGTTGCAAAGCACACTTGGCTGTATAAAAAGAAATTGCAGAGTATGACCAGTTTTCATAAAACTTAAATCAAAGTTCTACTGTCATTAACTGCTAAATGAACTAGTAACATTGTAATAGTTGGCCAGGATCACTCCTGTGTGAGGTGCAGCCTTCTTCAGTTCAAGACCCAGGTGTTGGTGGAGCTTTAAGACTCTTGCTTGAAGCCCCAGATGCCTAGCGGAAGAGACTTTCTCCAGGAAAGGGATTAGTTTGGTCCATACTTCTTGGGTACTGGAATGGCTGCAGGCTATATAACCATAATTTGAGAAGTATGGGTTTGGGTATTAGGAGGAATCATATATTTTGGAGGGCTTCCACATTCCAGCTTATCTGAATACCTCCCTTGGGAGTAGCCTTCCCTTTATCTCTGGCCCCTGACTAGTTGGATCACTGAGGGAGAGCCTGTATCCTAATAGCTACAATCTGTAATGTATCTTAATCTCCAAGTAAGGGTCTCATTCCAAATAGGACTGGTTTGGATATCATTTTAAGCAACTCTTCCAGAGGCAAAATTTACCCATGATGTCTATAGTATTTATTTTTACTGGCGAACCCAGGCCAAGACTTTCTATGAAAAAGAGGAAAAAAAGCCTCTAGGCATATTTTGGCATTTGCCAGTGTGACCAGACTTTCAAAGGTACTGAATCCAACAGCTTTTGTTGACTTTGAAGGGAGTTGATGGGTTCTCAGCACCCTTACATAAGCAGTCAGGTTTTCAGATTAGGTTCAGATTTCTAATTTTGAACATTTGGGATCAGGGTAACTAAATGGTCGTTGTTTTAGTTAGGTAAAAAACATGCAGGTAACTGCATTTGTCTGTTTCAGATTGCAACAAAGGATCCTCTAAACCCAATTAAACAAGACGTGAAGAAAGGAAAGCTGCGTTATGTTGCTAATGTATTTCCTCACAAGGGCTATATCTGGAATTACGGTGCTATCCCACAGGTATTGTATTGTACATATATCTTTTTCTTGCGGTGGAAACTAGATATTAGCCATACAAACACAATCCTGAACATATTTATGTATTTTAAAAAAATGTGAATGCTACCATGCTAACAAAACAAGATCTGCTTAATCTATTCAGACTGAAACTGAAATAGCAAATGCTAATGAGGGGAAATATGTAGTCAGTAGTGACACTGACAGAATCTCAAGAGGAAGGTAAGTATGCAAATCATGTTGTAAACAAGCTAACAAAAATATAAACTTGCAGCAAAATACCAATGTAGAATAAAACTGGCTTTATACCAGTAATAAAATGTCAGCTGTTAAGCTACAAGGACCCCTACCACCTATCAATTCAGTTGAACAGCAGTCTTCAGAAATTAGTAGTAGGTCGATACTCTTCACTGAAGAATGTTGCTACATAAGAAGAATAAATGTTTTAGACATTTGGTAAGTACTCTCTGATAGGAGTGATTCTGTGCCCATGTGTAAGTCTCAGACCCCTGCTGCTTCATCTAATGGTCTGACTTGGATTTCAGTTCCCAGACAAATTTTTCTTAAAAGCAGCCTGTCAGGAGATCCTACACTCAGTTGTGTACAGACAATGAAAAATCATGAAGAGAGTCATTAATGTGTACATTACTCGAAAATGCTTTAGGATCATATGGCTAATTATACTAAAATCACCTTAGACAAGATGCATTATTAATACTTGCAATCTACTGGGCTTCACCTTTGTAACTTGAACAGTCCTGGCCTTTTCTAGAAATAGACTTTCTATTTCGTATAAATAAACTAGGTTTTTAGTTAATGTAGCTAACAAAACACATTGTATGGCAACCTGTACAGAATGGATCTCTTCCATACCCTTCTCTGAACTTTGTCCACACACTGCCCTTAAATTCAAACAAATTTTCCATCTTCAAAGAAATGGGTGGACAAATTTGGCTGCCTGCCTGCAAACATAAAGATGTAAATAATGCTGTTACAAATTCCTTATTTTAAAAGGACTATCTTAACACTGATCTTACTTGTCTCTTAATTATCCTGCTAACCTTCTGTATCCTCCCCTCTGACCTAGGAGGAAGTCAGTTCAGTTCTGATAACGAGAAGTAGTTGGGGAAAAAAATAGTCAGAGGAAGTGAGCATGCAGCTTATCCTGATCTAGAAATCCCAGATCCATGGACAAAGTAAACAGGCTATCTTAAAATTGATAAAGTGTAAACAAATGTAAAAAGTGAAAACTTCCTAACCATCAATCAGAACTGACTTTCTTCCCACTGAAACCCAATGGAGAAACATTCCATCTTAATTAAGCTTCTTCACTAGAAAACTGCTGCCTGCATGAAAAACTCAGAGCCATCCATTCATGTAAACTTTGAATCTCCAGGGTTCTCCTCTAGTTTAAAAATCTCTTTCTCATACATAGACATGGGAACATCCAGGACATAAAGATGAAAATACTGGCTACTATGGAGATAATGATCCAATTGATGTGTGTGAAATTGGAAGCAAGGTAATGTGCTATTTTACAAAGGATGTTTATTTCTTAGAACTGTAATCTGTTAAATTAACTGACTCCAGAGACTACCTAACTTCTACTTCTGGGTCTTTTATTAAGAACTTGGCTTCTCTTAATGTTGCCACGGAGACTTCTGGTGCTGAAATGTAATGAATCTTAATTTCCCAAATTCATGTAATTCAGGCAAAAGTTCAAGTTAATGGCTACCCAGTGGTGTGATTTACATTAGTTTCCAGCCATTCAGTCTTTTGTATTGATCCTCTTACTGAACTTGTTTTGAATGTTAACTTTTTACTGAATTGTAATTTGTCTTATGTTGCACATCCCATAGCACATTGGTAGAGATAATTAATACATTTTATGTAATTAGGTGTGCTCAAGAGGAGAAGTAATTAAAGTGAAAGTTCTGGGCACACTGGCACTGATTGATGAGGGGGAGACAGACTGGAAAGTAATAGCAATCAATATTGAAGACCCTGAAGCAGCCAACTATAACAGTAAGTAGCAAGGAGGAAGGCATTGTTTTGGCTTTTTACTTACCCAACTGGGGGTTTTGAACAGAATGTTCCTTCATACTGGAAAAATCTGCATTTAAAATCTATAGAGCTAGATTTTAGCCAGCGTCTGCATAGGGCCTTGGCAAAGCAAGGTGAACACAACCCCCTTTTTCGCTCCTATCCTGCTTCCTGTGCCAAGGGATCTACATATTCCTAGAAGTGGTGCTGGCCTAGGCAGCAGAAGGGTGCACTGGATCAGCACAGTACTTTAGCACCTCTGCTGGTAGAGGTCACTTGGAAGCTTCCAGTGGGAGCTGGTTCCCTTGTGCAGCCAAAACCCTGAGGGAAGGTGAGAGTGGAAACTCTGCTGAGGGTGAATTGCATACACAGCACTTATAAGATTTTGCTGGCACAATTTGCACCTCTGAGTAACAGCTGGCTTGATCGGGTCCATACAGCTAAGTAAGCATGTGGTGTCTGACAAAACACATCTAAGGTCTCCACTCAAGTTTCTCCTGACTAAAGGTCAGAATTCCTTCTGCCCCTTCTCCCCTGAAAATCAGAAAAGATTCCAGTAAAATAACTTGGGCTAATCTGACCTATTAAAGGTTATCAATAAACTATCTTTAGAAAAATAACTCTTCTATGCTTTTGACAGGTGGATATACTGTGAGGATCAACCATCCTCAAATCTGACTTCTTGCCCTCTCAAATGAACTTGTTTCTTGGCTTTTTAGCATAAACTTGGGCAAGGAGGTAAATCTTGTTCTTCTCAGATATCTAAAATCCACCCTATCTTAAAAATTGACTTATAGCAGCATAGCCAAACTTGTCCCTAACAAATGACTTCTCATGAGAGCTAGGCATACACTGTCTAGGAGATGTTTCAGGTCTTGTACTGTAGCCAACAATCATAATGCTTATCTTCCTCAGTAGTGCTAAACTCAAAGGTGGTCTGGACAAAAGAATATTATACGTATTGCATAGACTAGTTTAAGACTGCAACTATTTGCATGATAAAGAAGAGTTTTTCCCGCCCCCTCCTGTTAGATATTGATGATGTCAGAAAGATGAAACCTGGATACCTAGAAGCTACAGTGGACTGGTTTAGAAGGTACAAGGTACCTGATGGGAAGCCAGAAAACCAGTTTGCATTTAATGGAGAATTTAAAGACCAGGTAATGTAACCACTTCTTCATTATCTGTAGAACCAATCTGATTGTCCAAAAAGCACATTACAGTTGAGGAACAATAGTCTGTACATTAAGAGTGAGGCACATATTGCATACTTAAATGCTAGTGTGACTGCAAAACTGAAGTTTCACTTGAAAACCTAAGCCACTTGACTAAGCTTTATTTTATCTACTGTAATAGAAATCACTGATTTATATCTCTTCTAGCTCTGTCCAACCCCATCTTCATTTTGCTTGCTCGCAGAAACACTAAGGGTTACATCCTCAGGTGCAATGCACCTGTTGAACACCCCCAGCTGTTGGAAACCACACATAAAATAGGTGTATCCCTCTACAGGAGGATCACTCCAGAACACTGGACCTTCTGGCATAGAACCAGCACAGTAACTCCCATGCCTTTCTATTGGCATGTGGAGCTTAGCCAGAACAAAAGGGGCATGACTGGGGCTTCCCTCTATCTCACTGATCTTTTCCTTTTCCTCCCTCCCCACCTTAGTCTTGGCCTGTTAGAGCCCCCTAGCGGATGACAGAAGCACACAAGTAGCCCATGAAGACTGGGTGGTGAGCTTGTGTACATACCTTTCTCCTTCAGACATGTGTTGTCCTAATTTGCTATAACCAAGGAGCTGACTTACCTCTTCTAAGTTACTGTATGGTCGTACATATATTCCAAAATTCTCACCGATTTCCTCAGGATGTAAGGGTTTTGTTTTGATAGCATCCCTCTTTCCAATTATTTCTAACTAGCGAAACAAGAATTTTAAAAAATAATCTTTTAACCATATTCACTAAGCATTTCACTTGTCTTTGACTATAACCATTGCATTACTAGTTTCACTTTCTGGATCATATGCTAGAAAAGGATTCTTGTGTGTCAGGCTACACATGAGTCTAAAAAATACAGTATTTTGAATTTAAATGTTTGTGTAAAAGAAAAAATGTTAAAACAATTTTTGCCTAAAAATTATTTGGAAATGTCCCCTTCCTTTAAATATTCAGGAAATGTTTCCAAAAACTGACCAGTGTCACAGCTCCTCTACATAGCTATAGTTATTTTTTCCTGTCCCACCCATCTTCTTAGAAACAAAGTACGGCAACATCTAAGAGTTTGCTTAAACTAGGGTCGGAGGATAGAGGTTAGGTCAGGTTAAGCCAACACATGTTAGCGAACATCAACCTCTTTCACTAATATAGACGCTCTGTTAGTGAGAGGGGAAAATGGTCTTATGGTAAAGGTACTGGACTGAGATCAGAGTTCAGTCCCTCTGTGTGCCATACACCTACTATGTGTCCTTCAGCATCTTGATTCCATCTTAAAATAGAAATTTTATAATCCCCCATTTTGTCTGTGAAGGTGTTTGGGGCAAGCACTGTGTCTTACTAGGAATCCGTACAGTACCCAGCACAAAGGGCCCTAATCTTACTTAGCAGCTCAAGCTGCTACTATAATACTAATAGTGACAGAGGGCAAAATAATAGTAGAGATACTTAGTCGTTTATAGCAAGAAAATTTGCTCTTCTAAAATATCTACTGTAAACATTAGGCTCTGCTGGTTCCTATCTAATTGACAGAATGGGGGATCATTAGAGTATTTGCCAGTAATATGGAATTTATTTTTTTTTATTTTAGGACTTTGCAATTAACATCATCAAAAGCACTCATGAACACTGGACAGATCTAGTATTTAAAAAAACAGATGGAGGAGAAATCAATTGGTAGGTTACAACTCCTCTGTTACACTGCTATTAAAAATTCTCAGCAAATGGGAGTAAATAGAAGAAGTCTTTATTAGAGGTTTAAAAAGGGCTCCAGAGGTGATCCCGGGAATTACAGGCCTGTAAGCCTGACTTCAGTACCGGGCAGACTGGTTGAAACTATAATCAAGAACAGTATTGTCAGACATATAGATCAGTGGTCTCCAAACTTTTTTGATCACGGACCCCATCAGTAAAAAAATTTTGAGCACACACCCCCTGCTGCGCCGAAGCCAAAAAAAAAAAAATCTCGGACTCCCACCCAAACTGCTGAAGCAAAAAAAAAAACGCTCCTCCCGCCGCACACCCCCAAGGATCCTCTTGCGCACCCGCTGGGATGCACACACCCCACTTTGGAGACCACTGATATAGATGAACATAATTTGTGGAGGAAGAGTCAACATGGTTTTAGTAAACGGAAATCATGCCTCACCAATCTATTAGAATTCTTTGAGGGGGTCAACAAGCATGTGGACCAAGGGGATCCAGTGGATATAGTGTACTTAGATTTTCAGAAAGCCTTTGACAAGGTCCCTCACCAAAGGCTCTTATGCAAAGTAAGCTGCCACGGGATAAGAGGGAAGTGCTCTCATGGACTGCTAACTGGTTAAAAGATAGGAAACAAAGGGTAGGTATAAATGGTCAGTTTTCAGAATGGAGAGAGGTAAATAGTGGTGTCCCCCGGGGGTCTGTTCTGGGACCAGTCCTATTCAACATATTCATAAATGATCTGGAAAAAGGGGTAAACAGTGAGGTGGCAAAATTTGCAGATGATACAAAATTACTAAAGATAGTTAAGATCCAGGCAGACTGCAAAGAGCTACAAAAGGATCTCTCAAAACTGGGTGACCGGGCAACAAAATGGCAGATTAAATTGCATTTATCAACATTAAAAGTAATGCACATTGGAAAGCATAATCCAATAAACTATACATATAAAATGCTGGGGTCTAAATTAGCTGTGACCACTCAAGAAAAAGATCTTGGAGCCATAGTGGATAGTTCTCTGAAAACATCCACTCAATGTGCAGTGGCAGTCAAACAAGCGAACAGAATGCTGGGAATAATTAAGAAAGAGATAGATAATAGGACAGAAAATATCATATTGCCTCTATATAAATCCATCGTATGCCCACATCTTGAATATTGTGTGCAGATGTGATCGCCCATCTCAAAAAAGATTCATTGGAATTGGAAAAGGTTCAGAAAAGAGCAACAAAAATGATTAGGGGTATGGAACGGCTTCTATATGAGGAGAGATTAATAAGACTGGGACTTTTCAGCTTGGAAAAGAGATGGCTAAGAGGAGATATGATTAAAGTTTATAAAATCATGACTGGTGTAGAGAAAGTAGATAAGGAAGAGTTGTATACTGCTACTCATAACACAAGAACTAGAGGTCACCAAATGAAATTAATAGACAGCAGGTTTAAAACAAATAAAAGGAAGTATTTCTTCACACAGCGCAGTCAACCTGTGGAACTCCTTGCCAGAGGATGTTGTGAAGGTCAAGACCATAACAGGGTTAAAAAAAGAACTAGATAAATTAATGGAGGATAAGTCCATCAATGGCTATTAGCCAAGATGGGCAGGAATGGTGTCCCTAGCCTCTGTTTGCCAGAAGCTGGGAATGAGCGACAGGGGATGGATCACTTGATGATTACCTGTTTTGTTCATTCCCTCTGGGGCACCTGGCACTGGCCACCGTCGGAAGACTGGATACTGGGCTAGATGGACCTTCGGTCTGACCCAGTAGGGCCGTTCTGATGTTACTCTAGTGTTAGCAACTTACTCTGTAGCTTGTTCAAAAACTGAGCCTTCAGCCTGTGGGGTTTTTTTAAAATGGGCAACCTTAACACCTTTAATGCTGTTGTCTAATACTTTTGGGGAAAGAACTTGGCTCTCACGATTCACCTTTCTCTTCTAGCGCAAATACAACTGTGTCAGACAGCTCCTTTTGTATTAGTCAAGAATCTGCTAAAGCTACTGTGGAAGCAGTAAGTACAAATAGATTTGGGTATCTTTTATTTTTTTAATAACACCTGGTGTCTGTGATTATAAAGAAAAGACAAAAGGAGTTTAGGTGATATACTAAAAAAACACTTTTTCCCTGTAGGAGCAGCTTGTTGTACTGGCTAAAATCGCTCTGGATGGCCAAACTAAGCATGAACTTTTTAGTAAGCAGAGGTGCATGGGTGTACAGAAACTCAAACACCTTTTTCAGGGTTTCTACTTGCCCGACTCATCTGGGGATGGGATCTCTCTTGAAACACTGTTCTACCTGGAGCAAAGTACTTTTTTTTTTTTTTGTATCAACTCATGTAAATGACTTGAAGTTAAAATGTATAAAGAACTTTTTGAAAATTAATACCTAAGACATAACATGAGCTTGTTTTTAAAGTATAGGCTACCCTTTGCCATCAGAATGCATGATATTTGCAATGGAATGACTCCCAAAGGACTCCTTTCTGATTCCTTGAGAATATTTCCTGTCAAATGCATTGTCTGACATCTAATGTGTACTGCATTAATCAAAACTTCTAAATAGGTGAGGAATTCAAGTACTTCAGAATATTTGGCTATACCTGTAAGTCTGGAGTACCACAATATTTGGCAATTTCTAATAGAAGTGATGCAAAAAAGTGTGAATGGATAGGTAATGGAAAAAATCCTTTCGATGTTAAAATAATTCTGATCAGAAGCAGAGGCCAGTTATAAATAGATGAAGAAATAAACCTGTTTAACTTACTCTGGTTTCTAAAAGTGTCATGTTATAGCTGTGTCAGAACTACCTGGTAAAATTCTGAGGCTAGAACACTTCATTAGGTTGTGGACTGGAATTGTCACCAGCAGGGCCGGCTCTAGGTTTTTTGCTGCCCCAAGCAAAAAAAATTTTTGGCTGCCCCCC